TGTCAGGTTACAAGACACTCGCACCCCTAACCCTTTAGAAAAGAAAAACCGCAAGGGTGTTCAAACTTGACAGCTTTAAGACTTGTGGACTTCAACTCCCAGAATTCCTCCTCTCGCTCTTCATCTTGATTTACAACCACAATTGAGCCTCAAATTTCCCTTGCTAAGCAAGACAGTGAAGTGAGTTTTGCCCCTTTCTACAATTTTCTTGCCATCGTTGTTAAGTGCATCACTGCCATTGTTAAGTTAGCAACATGGTTGTTAAGCGAATCTGGCTTCTCTACTGACTTTGTAAGGAGGTCGCAAAAGGGGATGACATGACTCATCCCCCCTCCCCGGGGATACGGCAACTGTCATAAATATGAGTCAAGTTCCAACCATCCAAATCTTGATCACGTGACCATAGAGATGCTGTGTGAAAAATGACTGACCTTTAACAACGCTGTTGTAACGTTGAATGGTCATTCAACGAATGGTTGTAAGTCGAGGACTAACTGTATTCCAAAACATGGGGAAATTTACCTCCGGAGGAATGCTGTCATCCGAATCTGAACTCTCGTCACACTCGCTGCAGTCCAAATTCATCTGTAGCAGCTGATCGATGGTGGCATCTACTGCACCATTGTTGGCCCTCAAGACGCATTCAATGATGTCATAATCCATATTGGGGAACATGGTCTTGAAATCCTCCATCGCCTGGTTAAACTCCAGCCTCCGTACTTGCCTGGCGGGGCGGCTATTGTTAAGTTCTTGAGCCGAAGAGCTGTTCCTCGAGCCGCCATTGCTGCTGCTCCGTCGGAACAGGCTTGTCATTTTGGATAACCGTTTTTGGAAAATGTTTAAACTTTTTCAGATCGGCTTTTGAGGTAGGAGAAGGAAAGAACCGAGAGAAGAAGTGTATAGATCCAAGGGGAAGGGAGGGTGAGGCGCAATCTGACTTCCAGTGTTCTGGGCAAGAAGAAGCAATGAACGCGTCTCGCAGAACGACTGGCCGACAATGCACCACAAAATGGTGGCACCCCGGAGATGGCAAAACAAGATGGAGCTGAGGCAGCCTGCAAAGTTTCAGCCCTGGATCGATCCACGACAGGAGGAAATTGGTGAAGAAGGACTTCTTCAGAGAATTAAGAGCGTCCAAAGCCCCAGATGCATCTCTTTTACTGAAAAATGAAGAAATGCATTTTTAAAAACGTGTAAGCCATGTTATAATATAGAAAATTGATATCAATACCTCTCCCGTCCTCCCTTATATAAGACCTTTTGGTAGTTTTGCAGAACTTGAGATGAGTTTGCAGAAGAAATCTACAAAGTTACATTGTAACTTCGGTCACCAAGCAAACTGTTGTAAATTGAGGATTACCTGCATACAGTGAGGCAGATTTTGGGGACTAAAGGATACAAACATTATTACACAAAAGCAGAAATCCTCAGGACAGGAAATCTTTGTTGTACCTAAAGACAGATCGCTTAATAAAATTTCAATTCTGGTTAGAATTTAGAATGCTTATTTAAAGATATAGGTAGTCCTTGGTTTAAGAAAGAGTTTCGTTCCTAAGTCTGCCTTTTAAGTCAAATTTGTGCATAAGTTGGAACTCATATTCACGGACTGCCTATTGCGGGCATCATGCCCCCATCGGAGTCTTAATCCGCAGCCATTGAGGGGATGGTTCTGTTGGCCTTGAGGGAAACTGGGGCAGAGTCAGTCCAGGTAAGGCTTTTCAGGATTAGAAAGGCTTGCAGACAGGGAGGAGCAGGAGAGACAGAGCTCAGACGAAAAGCAAGGACCACCTCCTCCTGATCCTAGAGTCCTTGAGAGAAGGGTGGCATATAAATCTAATAAACCTAAACCTAAACCCACCAATGCCCCT